TTTTTTTTTTGAGACAGAGGTTCGTTCTTGTTGCCCAAGCTGGAGTGCAATGATGCACAATCTCGGCTCACTGCAACCTCCACCTCCCAGGTTCAAGAAATTCTCCTGCCTCAGCCTCCCAAGTAGCTGGGATTACAGGTGCGCGCAACGAGACTTGGCTAAATTTTTTGTATCTCTAGCAGAAACAGGGTTTCACCATGTTAGCCAGTCTGGTCTTGAAGTCCTAACCTCAGGTGATCTACCTGCTGGGATTACAGATGTGAGCCACCATGCCCAGCCTTTTTGTGGGTTTAAAAAGACGAAGCCAGGGCTAGGTGCTTTGGCTCACGCCTGTAATCCCGCACTTTGCAAGGCTGAGGCAGGTGGATCACTTAAGATCAGAAGTTCAAGACCATCCTGACCAACATGGTGAAACCCTGACTCTACTAAAAATACAAAAATTAGCCAGGTTGGTGGTGCACGCCTGTGATCCCAGCATTTTGCAAGGCCGAGGCTGGTGGATCACTTGAGGTCAAGAGTTTGAGACCATCCTGGCCAACATGGTAAAAACCCTGGCTCTATTAAAAATACAAAAATTAGCCAGTTGTGGTAGCGCTTGCCTGTAATCCCAGCTACTTGGGAAACTGAGGCAGGAGAATTGCTTGAACCCAGGAGGCGGAGGCTGCAGTGAGCCAAGATTGCACCACTGCACTCCAGCCTGGGCAACAGACTGAGACTCTGTCTCAAAAAAAGACAAAGCTGATTTTCAAGCTGGTGGTCACTTACCAGCCTAGTGAATACCACTTAGGTCCATCATGTATGTGTGAGAGCTTTCCCTCTGAACTATCAGTGCCTGCTGTGCTCATTTTGTATGCATGAACATCTTTTTATATTCATTTTCTAAAGTCATTTGCTTTGAACCTGTTATGCTTATATTAATTTACTTACTGCTCAGGAATCACTGCCTCGGGGAACTGACCATTACTTTCTACCTTCACTGAATGGAAAAGCCAGTATTCTGTGTTTATCTGAAAATGATTTGGTAGTTTAGGTTTTCTTTGTTGTAGTTTCTTAGGTAACAAACGTAAAAGATTCCTGCAAACCTAACAGGCAGATCATATGACCCCATGACTGATGTTTACTCTTTTTTTAAAACTAAAACAGGCTGCACTTCTGTGAATCCCCAGCTGATATTTGCATGGGAGTAGGATGGGGGTCTAAGCTGAGACGAAGATAGACAGCTCTCCCAGCGTTTTTAGGCTGTCACACTTTCCAGCTGATCTTTTCCATTTGGAACGGGTTCCCATTGGGAATTGTGGTTTGGATTCAGTGGCAGGTGGTGATGGTGGTTTTTTCACATGGTGGTATCTTCTACCTAGGAGACCACTACAATTTCAACTCCCTGGTCTTGTGAATCATATTTCTTTTGAGCCTTTGGGTTTTATGACACAGATGAGGATTTAATTCCCAAACGCCATGCTTCTGTAACCACATGAAGAGAATGGCAGCCATTTTCCACACCTGCTGCACATCAGACCATCTCGGTTTCCTTCCCCACATCTGAACTTGGAAATCCCCTGCTGGGCTTCAGGCCTGAGCCCCATGTGTGAGCATCAATCAGGTCCGTGGGTTAGAGTTACCAGAAGGAGAGCTCTCTGCTTCCTCCCACTCCTTGAGCAACCTGGCATGGGGTCAGTCCTGCCTGCCCTTTCCCTCTCACCTCGTGGCTCTTTGTAGAGCTATTCACGAATCGGTTAAGAAGTTGGGAATCACTTCCATCAGAAAGGGGCTGTTGAAGTTAGTTCAGCTTTTGAAGATGGGGAGACTTCAGCTAGCCTTATTTCTCAACTGCAGGTCGAGTCCAGTGGGAGGCTTTTGAATGATACAGATGCCCTCCATGCACACACATACTTGCACACACCCATGTGCATACAAGTGTGGGCATCCACCCACACCTCATCCAGACTGAGTCAGTGGGGGCTGCCAGTCTACCCAAAAGGAGTCCCTTCTCATTTCTGTCAACCAGGGTCCTGCACAAAATCAAAATCTTCAGAAGAGTAAGACCCTGTTAAACCTTTTGAAAGCTCTCAAGGCCACCCTGGTTAGAGCCAAACACTGGATGGGGTCAGTTCTCACAGCAGCAGACCTGGGAGGGTGGTGCTCCCTCATGGAGCGTGCTCACTCCCTGTCATGCCTGGAGATCTCATCAGTGGAATCCCTGCTCTGTGGGCAGCTGATGTCACACCTCCACCTCAGTCTCTCATCCTGCCTTTGGAAGCCAGGGAGTGGCATCCTAAGCCTCAAGGCCTGCCACAGATACTTAAAGTATGTCCATGATTTCTTACTTACTTATAACCCAACTCACCAGGACTCACTTCCATTCACAGAGATATGCAACCCCTACTCAGTGCCCTGCCAAATGTGGGCATGTTTGACCCCAGCTTCAGAGTCCCTGGCACCCAGGCAGCCAGCACCAGCCACCAGCCTCCAACTCGGATTCAGGGAGCACCTTCAAGCCACTGGTTCCCTCAGCAGCCCCACTTCCCACTGCTGCCGACCCTCCCCAATCTCCAGCAGAACCTGCCCATGCCAGCTCAGAGATCTTCTGCGGAAACCAATGAGCTGAGGGAAGCCCTTCTGAAGATCTTCCCTGACTCGGAGCAAAGACTGAAAATTGACCAGATCTTGGTGGCCCACCCATACATGAAAGATCTAAACGCTCTCTCTGCCATGGTATTGGATTGAAGATTGTGCTGAGAAGCTTGTGCTCAGGGCTGGCTGATCAAACTCAAGCTCACACCTGTACCTGTTGGGAATGAACATAATGTGAAGAAACTTATTTCCCAGTGTAAACGCAGTTGTATAGAAAAAAAAGTTTTGTGTATAAATCTGGGTTTTCAAAACCAGCTTTTTTCTATATATAAATTATGCTGCTATTACAGATTTAACATTTTCTGTTAAAGGAAAGTCTACATTTTCTGCCTGTTCAGAACTGTTTAATAGCAGTTACTCTTGAGTGTATTTACCTTTTTATGTTTTTTAAACTATTTTCCTTAAAGCCGAAAATATTGACAAATGGATATGGTTAGCCTTTATAAATAAAAAAAAATTAAAAAAAAGAGTTGCTTTCTTAAGGAAAGCAAGACCTCTTAAAGTATATTTTCTTGAGATGAATATGTCCTGTCACTACCATGAAGTGTGCTCCCCCTTCCAGCCTCTTCTGCCCTCACCCCCAGAGCTAGAGTGGGTAGGAGTTGGTTTGTTCTGCAGGGTCTTTGGAGCATTGTGAAAGTGGACCTGCAGTGCCACTAGATGGCACTTGGTGCCTAGCTGTGGTGAATGACCAGAGCAAAGTTGGACTCACAGAATACCAAGGTTAGAAGACAATGTGGAGTCCATGGAGTCCCACCCTTCTTCCCCTTCCACCCTGCGCTAGAGGGGACGGCCCAGTGTGCTCGCCGTCCGGGCATGCCCACAGCCACAGCTGAGGCGTGGCCGAGCAAGCAGCAGTCTCCCCAGCCAGGGCTCAATACACTTACAGGCTAGTGCCTCCACACACCTGTAGCTCTGGAAGTCACATCTTAGCTTCTGAACACTAAAGGAAGTTGAATGGAGAGCCCTGTCAGTGTGGCCATCTTGTGTCCGCAACTGCAGGAGATGCCCCAATGTAGAGTTTGTACAGCTTTGCCAAAAAACGGTTTTCTATTCTCAAAAATGACCCAAGCCAATAAATAGCATTAGTAGCTTCTGTGGGGGGTCCCAGAGACCCTGTAATTCATTTTCCCTGTGTTTGTCTCTGGTGTCCTCAACAGCCTTCCCTGTGAGTCTTTCTCAGAATTGATATCTTAATATTGTCTGTTTTCAGTGTTACCCAAATGCAGTGTCAGTGAAGTTCTTTTCCTGGACAATCTTAACATCTTTACTCTTATTGTCTGAACTTTCAAAGGGCTTTGTATTTTACACCTGCGTCCCCAGGCTGCTCACAGTCGGCCTCCTGCCTGCCTGTGGATTGTGTCTCTCTCCTGGCCCCGAAGAGCGGAGGCTGAGGAATCAGTGCTGGTTTGTTCACGGTGAGGGGACTGGGCAGCATCCCGGAGTGCTCCCGCCTGGCCTGTTTATTGGTTTTGTTTGATCGCTGCATCCTTCGAGGAATGAATCCAGAGCCTTCCAGGAGGCCAGGCTTGTACTTCAGTCATCTTCCTCTCAGATGCCTCCATGACGCCTCCTGTTACGGAACTGGTTGTCTGTTGTTTGGGCCAGTGGCCAAGTCACCCAGCTATGGAAGCAGGGGTAAAAGATGAGGCCAGCCAGGGGGATGACTTCAGTCACAGCTCCCATGCCTCAGCTTTGCGCCTGTTTTCAAAGCACAGCTGAGGTGTGTGGGCTGGGGCTGTCTTGCAGCAACTCTGGCCTTCTTTCTCACGGTCCATTTCAGCAGGCTGGCTGACCCAACTGTTTCTCCTCTGCTTCAGAGAAGAAACTCAGGAGATGCCCTGACTGCCAGGCTGAGTCACCACCGTGCTGACTGGTGCTGGCTAGGCAGAGGGGGTCACCACTTCTCCCAGCTCTAGAAGCTACTTGACCCTTGACGTTTGGCTTCTGTAAGTCTGTGTTCTGACTATTGCTTTGGAGCGATCGGCCTGTCCCCTTTCCCTTTCTTGGCTATGGGAAGGAAGGATAAGAAAAGAGCTCGTTACTTCCCTTCATTAGTTACAATATGAGATGGAATTATTCCTTCCAAAACCCCTCAGGTTTAGTTAAATTTAATATTTAAAAACCCAAATTATCAAAACATTAAAAAACACTCATGACTGGTTCTCAGCCTCCTCCAGCACTAGCCTCAGTGTGGCTGCTGCGTAAGTGTCTGTAGCCTGTCTACCTCCTGCAGCGGTGCCATCCGCTGCTTCCCTGTCCACTGCTCAAGCTCTCCTGCTTCGGGGCATCCACAGAAAGTAGTTGGCAAGGCAGAGATGTTACCCTGATTCAACAGTCGGGATGTCTGATGCTCAGAGAGGTTTTCCTAGGGGCTGGGTGATTTCCGGGCCTACATTCTTCCCTAAGCTCCAGGCCGCTGTCTCGTCTGACTTTTCCTCAAGCAGTCTGAGCAGAAAAGTCACTTCTCCTGCAGTCAGGAGACAGAAGGTATCTGGGCCGTCCTGGACAGCAGGTTAGCATTGCTAGGCAGGCTCGGCTGTGTGGCTGGGACTCAGGCCTGGGTGGCTTTCGAAAGCAGTGAGGGGACAGCTGGCCTCATGCCCATGCAGGCTTGTTGTGATACAGTGAGATGTGAGGGAAGACTCAGATCTACACACAGAAACTCTCTTCTCCCCACCATCCCCTAGCGTTGCCACACATCTCACATGTTTTAGATTGAAACAGCCTGATTCCCGGAAGAATCCTCTCCATTCATTGCTAGTGCTTCCCCTTATCTCTCACTCTCCACTTCTCAGTTTGCAAACGTGTCTTTCGACCACCAAGTGAAAGTGGACTGAGAGCAGCCCCTGGGGACAGTCCGGTGCCTGCCTGCAAGGCTGCGCTATAGCTGTCTTGGTATATGTGGCAGCCCCAGCGCGTGCTTCTGTTGACCAGACTGTCCCTGCTTCTCACCACTTCTCTCACTCCCAGGCCTCTCTTACTCTTTTTGTCTTTTTGCCTAAAGTCCAGTCCTTAACACCCTGTTCTTCCTCAGCAGGTGGTTTGCAGACTTTGCCCCACCTGTGGGGCTCCTGGTGGAGAGGCCAGCTGGTGTTAAGAATGCAGGTTACCGGGCATGACGCGGCAAATGCTTACCCAGTAGTTATGGGGGAAGGCCCAGGAATCTGCAATTGAGCGTGTTCCCTGGGCAGTTCCTGTGCAGATGATCCCTGGACCACATGTTGAGAAACTGCACTCATCCTTAGGGCCACACTGTCCCTCTCCCCACTGTCCCCTCTCTGCAGTGACCTCTGGCCCTGCCCTTCAGAAGTGTACTTCCCACTCCACCGGGAAGCCCCATGGCATCCTCAGGCTCCCTAGAACCACAGCCTGCACAGGGACCCTCCCTCTTTCCACACCCACCCTCCATGAGGTTCCCTGCTCTGCCCTCGTGCTTTGCTGGCCCCTGCTCTCAGACACCCAGGGGCGGTGAGCCCTGACTGGCCAGCCCCTTGTAGCGCTGCCCTCTACCGTCCAGACACTGCAGTGCGGCCAGATTTACCTTCCAGAAACACACTTCTAGTCACCCCTACTGCAAAGTGATCTGCAATGGCTGTCTGACCAGAGCACCAAGTTCATAGCCCCTGAGCTTAATGTCCATGGCTGTCCACCTCCCAGCCATATTTGACTGTCCGCTTAGTCCCACCCAAACGCTCCCTGTGGCCACACGTTTCCCATGACCTGTAGGCTCTGCAGTTGGACTTCTCTCCACTAGAGATGCCCTTCTCCCAAATGACTTCCCTCCTGAAAGGCCCGGCCTGAGTCCTCCTCATCCCCTTGTCCAGTGCTTCTGCCGGAAGCAGCCCCATGGTGTTCTGTGATCGCACAGCACTTTGTGTCTTGCTTTGGGCACTCGCCGCTCTGGCTGGCGCCACCGCCGCTGATCGTGTACTGTGTCTTGCTGCCCTTTCTAGACTGTGAGCTCCTCGCGGGCAAGGACCGCCTGTGTTCTCTGTATTTCCCACGGCGCCTAGCACAGAGCCTTGCACTCGATAGGTGCTCAATAAATGTCTGCCTAAGTGAACTGGAGAACAGTGCCTTCTTGACTGCAGCATCTGGCAGCAGGACCAGTAAGAGGCCAGGAATCCACCACCCTGCAGTGTGGGAAAGTGGGCTGGTGCTCTGCTGGGGTCACTCCACTCCCTTCGTCCTCCTCTGCCAGCCTCCAGCACACGGCATCCTGGGCACACGGGTCCAGGGAGGGGCGCCTGGCGTGGGCTGCGTACCAGGTGCTCTCAGGCTTCCTGGCCAGGGCAGACACCCGGCCCAAGCTACCCCAGTCCGAGTCACTCCTGGGGAATTCCTTTGGTGGTGGGAATTGCGGGATGCCAGGCCCAGATCTCTCAGAAGCCATTTTCTGCCCTGGGGGAAGCCGGCCTGTGGCAGGAAAGAAGCGGAGACATGAGAGAGGTTCCTGGCAGCATAAGCTCCAGGCTCCTGTTGCCAGGAAAGCCCTTCCTCGGATGTCGCCACACCCCAGTATTCTAACACACTTCCCTTTTTGCTTAAGCTGGCCATTCCAGTTGGATTTACATCCCTTGAAATCAAGAGTCTTGAGTAACATGTGTTACTGTCTTTAGCAAGGATTTGCAGATGGAGTAGAAAAGGCCCCACAGATATGCGCAAATGGGGCTTCAGGAGCGTCCACCCCAGTCAGAAAATGCTGGGAGAGGCCAACCAGCATACTCCACCATTGGAGTTGAGTAACTTGAAACTCAGGCCTGGGGCCCCTCAACAGAGAACTCAGCCTGGTGCTCGAGCTGCACCCTGCCACTTTGGCTCTGCAACCTTCCACTGCCTCTTCAATCCCCTGACAGCAGTTCTTTTGCCCGGTTTCCTAATTGGGCAGTTGCCAGCACTGTTGATTTAGAGTTTGACTTTCTGTACACCTCAGAAGTGTAAATAAGCATTATTTTATTATGCCTATTTTACAGATGAGGAAACGTAGTTCCTTATCTCGAAGGAACTAAGGAAACTAAGTTTCCTCATCTGTAAAATTGGCTTAATAATGCTTTCTACTTCAAGCGTGACATGAGGAGTAAGCATGTAAATACCCGTGAGGTGCCTAGAACTGTGCCCAACCCAGAGCCCCACTCGATGGCTGCTATTGGGGCTCTGATCAGCAACCCTGCGAATGCTTACATACCTATTCACCACCCTTCCAGGTCATCCCACAGCCCCATCAGCTGGCTCTTAACTCCAGGTCCTGAATGCACTCCTTTGTTGCTATGGGCCAACGATGAGGGTGCTTAAGTTAGGGCCTAAATTTCTTGCAGTGCCTCAGTAGGGCCATGGGAAGTCCACCTGTGGTTTAGAGAGGGTATTATTCCTTGAACAAGGCATGCACCCAGGAGAGTCCCTTGGGTGCCATCAACAGAGAAAGCACCTGGAGGAAGTGGATGCAGCCACTGCCTGCCCGCAGGGTGCTAAGAAAGCTGAGCCCAGCAGCCAGCGCCACGCCCTCA